TATTTCATATATGATTATATATGTTTATGAATATTTATGTATGTTTATACATATTTATACATATTCATGCATGAAAAATTTTTTACAAAGATAATATATAATTTGTATTTATATAATTTTGTTCCAGCTGGTTAGGATGCAAGTGGACAATGTCGGTTTCTATATTGGCTTACATGCCTTTTATAGCTTCGCAGTTTTATCCTAAATTTTATACTATGATTCCTGCTGGACTGTCAGTCGGATTAGGCGGTGGGCCGCTTTGGTGCGCAAAATGTACTTATTTAACTGTGGTAGCAGAAGCTTATTCGACCGTTTCAGATATAGCCGTGGATGTCCTTGTTACAAGATTTTTTGGTCTTTTCTTCATGTTTTATCAAATGGCACAAGTGTGGGGAAATCTTATATCTTCAGCAGGTGGGTCATTGTACAGATATACGTATGGACATATGATGCTCAAATTTATATTTCAGGAATCAAATGTGTTGAAAAAATTTTTATTAACATATTATTCGTGTCTGTTTTCGACTTGGACAACATTTTATTTGTAAATGTTAATTTTGATGACGTAAGAATAAATCTGTAATTGCTTTGGGATGCTTTACAGCGTGAAATAAAAGTTGCCGTTCTGAATACTAACGAACTAGACAAGAATTTTATTGTCCACTGGTATATGTAAATATTTAAAAACTTCCATAATTATTTTATAAATTTAGTATACATTAATGAAGACTACACTTAAGATCGAAACATCCAAGAATATATATTTTATGACATTGTTTGTAATAAAATAGTGATCGGTATCTAGCATAACTTTAATAGCCTAGTTTATTATTTATATATATATATAATTTATAAATTTAATTTATTATATTATACTTAATTCAATTTATTTGCTAGAATATGAAAAAAACTATGATTAATCTACCAAAATAGTAATATAAGAAAAACAAGCAACTTTTTTGAAGTGAAAAACTTAATGCTAAGAGTTTTTTCTTAGCTTTTCAAGATAAAATATATCCTTGCTACAATTGTTTAATTACCTTCTATTTTAAGATAAAATTATAAGCGACTATGAAATCGCGAACCGGAATAAAGAGACGCAAAAAAACTTCGTCTGCAGTCCGCGCAATCTTTGCGGAAGCGTGTATGAATGCGTTGCTGCTAAGCTATAAAAACGCGAGCGCCGATGAAAACGAAATTAAGTTTCTACTGCCGCGAATCATGAGATTATGAAACAATGACACAGACTGCGCAGTAAAAACTAGAGTTTGGTCGGGCATTTTAATGACCATATTTTGTTTTAATGAAACATATATTTCAGTATACTTATTCATGAGAAGAATTATCGGCATAATAATCGATAGCATCTCTATTCTTGTAATTGTGTCATCCTCGTGTCTCTCATAATTTTTTAATGCGTTAAATTCAGTGGCGAGCATATTTTCGCAGAAATAATTTTGTAATTATAATATTTTCTTTATTTTTTCATTAACGTTTCTCTTACAGTTCTTTCATATGGAATTGACACGGTTGTCTCAAATGTCACCTTAAACAGTAGCGTTGTGGCCAAAATTTGCGGAGCCAATTTCTGTGGGGTGTCTGAGGAAAATGAAAATCCAAATTTGCAACGACCTCCAGTAGAACGAATATACCTTATTTCTGGAATTTATTTAGGCTGTATGATATTAGCTTGTCTAATAATCGCGTGCGCCGTTGATCCTTTATCCAGGTACATCTTACGTTTATTTATAATTCGCGGTTTTCATTGTCGGAAGTATAGATATCATAAAATATTTATATTATTTATTTAAATAATAAATTATGTTGTTATAATATTAGTTTTATAACATATATTAATATATTACTCACTAAGGACTAACAGTAACATAAATGTTAGTTATATTATTTATTTAAATAATAAATTGTGTTCTTATATAATATCAGTTTTATAATATATATTGAAATATATTACTCACTAAGGACTAACAGTAACATAAATGTTAATTATAATTTCCCACTCATCAACATAACTGTAATATAGTGCGTCATATTATAGAGTTATATTGTTGAGTGAAAAATTGTAACCAACAGAATTATATTACTGTCAGTTGTTTTATTTACTGAGTATAAAAAATTTCTTGACACTAGAGTTTATGTCCATCTTATAGATACGACAGAAACAGAGCCCGCTTAGTGAAAGGATTGTCCGGATTCAAGCTCTTGGCCGTGACATTAAAACTACTAAAAGAAAAGAATCAACTTTTAATATTGCCGATAACGTTGTTTATTGGGGCTGAGCAAGCGTTTTTATTTGCGGATTATAACGCAGTTAGTAAGCTATATATGAGACTGCAGAAATTTAAAGAATAAAATTTGCGTTTAATTAGTAATAAGGGAAGAGTTTGTATTATAAGAGAACAATGTTTTAAATTTTTGTTACAGTCATTCATTTCCTGTGCTTGGGGGATTAATAATATTGGTTACGTGATGATATGTTTCGGTATCACAAATGCTATAGCTGCACTTTTTACGGGAGCCATCGTGAAATTGACTGGAAGAAAGCCTGTGATGATTTTTGCTTTTTGTTTACACTTGAGTCTTTTCGTTTACATGTTACGATGGAAACCGACACCAGAACAGGGTATTATCTTCTTTTTGCTGTCGGGTTTATGGGGTGTGTGCGATTCGATCTGGCTAGTACAAGTCAATGGTAAGAAAAATTAGTAAACTGCAGTATTTAATATAAGTGTATTTTCAGTCGTTTACTATTAATTAAGAATTATATATATAATATTTATATACTGCGTACTCTGTTACTAATAATTGAAAGATTATTGTACGGTAATCACTAAGTCGAATTTCCTAGTTTACTTGTTGTAAGTAAATTGTACCGACAGATTGTATCTCCACTGATGGTATTATACCAACCAATAGTATAAAACAATTTTATTTTTGCGTTTTTAAAGAAATTGTTAATGAATTAAATTGTTAATATATACATCTCATAAATTTAATATGTAACAGTTAACAACTTTGTGATTTTCAGCATTAAGTGGTATATTATTCCCTGGTCAAGAAGAGGCAGCTTTCGCAAATTTCCGCTTGTGGGAATCCACTGGTTCAGTGATAACATATGTGTATAGCCCATATCTGTGCACTTATACGAAGCTGTATCTTTTAATCGGAATACTGTGCGTTGGAATGAGTGGTTTCGGTGTTATCGAGTGGTTAGGTATTCGAGCAGACAGAACTGTTTCCGACAACAAGCCTGATTTAGAATTAATGAATGATAGAGGTATCAATCGATAAAATATAGAAGTAGTAGGTATCGTCTTTTTCAGTTGACGGAATTGCAGAAAACTGTCGAAATGTTTATTTTTTTATATTATCAAAAAGTGTCAAAACCAAAACCTGACAAAAAAATACATTTCTAAAAAGTTTTTAAAAATATCAATTTCTGAAAAATGCTTTCCTATCATTATTTATAATATCCCGTCCTCAAAGTACATGATAAGAAATAAATTGTGAGTCTATTAAATGTATCTGAAATTATTAAGATAAAGAGAAAAATTACTTCAAATATTGTCGAGAAGACGAGATTTAAGAAAAAAAAGTTTAATTAAAAAAGTTAAGAATCGATAATTATGTTATATGTAAATAAAATTACAAGAACATGTATATAGTACAATTACTCATTTGAAAATAAAATGATTCTTAATCGCGAAGAGTCATAGGTACGACTTTTTGTTATTTGTACCACAATATATGTTTTTATTTTATTTTTGTGGACACCTACTAAATTTTACACAGGTATTCGCTTAACGGCTAAGATTTTTCTTGTCCTTCATTTTAAATACGTAATTTAATATTACATCATGTGCCTAGGTGCTAACATTCAAGCTAAAGCTACGGCTGCTTAGTTTAATTGTATACTTATGTGCTTAATTGCCGACTGTGCTTATTTCGTTACCGAGATCAATTGATTCCCGCCTTCGGGCGAAGGCAGATTACCGAGTTGCGTGATTTTCCCATAGTTAACCGACGTTTTCCGATAACGGCAATGTCGAATCAATTGATCGGCGAATTGTAATTTAGCATCGTTAAATTGCTGATTGTATCGTGATTATTAGCTTAACTTTGCATTCATCGTATTTACAATTCAAGTTCTGCAGTTTAGTTATATACTTTATAAAACGTAGTAGGAACTTTGGTTTCGCTGGGCAATGTTTCATGAGCAGTTTCCTCTTATTGATTTGTTACTTTATTTCGTGTCTCGACATGGCTCTTTTTAGGGGGGGGGGGTGTTCATTTCTTCTTTACTCCGTTATGAAATATCTACTCTCTTGTTTGGTCTATTTTTAATTTACCAAAATTATCGGACAAGGCGAGCAATTCTGCTGGAAACTGCTATAAAACATTCGCCCGTGGATCTATCTTCCTTAATATGACACTCACGAATACAATTCACATTTTTTTGTAATACTCATGTTTATATTTTCGTAAGGATCTATTTGAATATTTCAATTTCACGAAGAAAATACACATAATTCTTAAACCGTCTTTGCGTTTTTATTTTTATCACTACCGCAGTTTTTTCGACGCTCTGCTCGTTTTCTCTCTTTCTCTCTCTCTCTCTCTCTCTCTCTCTCTCACTCTCTCTCTTTCTTTCTTTCTTTTCTTTTCTCGCTCATATAACAAAATTTAATAACCGGAATATTTCTGTACAAACATTTTCGCTCTTTTATCAAAAAGGATAACATACACATCCCACCCCTCAATAAAAAATTTTGAATTTTGCGTTTTACCCCATCGTATATCTCTTTATTTCCACTCTCACGCCATTTCCTTCACGCTTTTCATACTCTCTTTTATTTATATAATACATTTTAGGAACAGATCACTTTGCTCGTCTCAGCTTAAAAGTAAAACCTTAAAATATTATTTATTTTTAGAAATTTATTATTTTTTTAACCATGTAAATCTTCTTTGCATGAATTCAGCTATTTTATAGCTATGATAATAAAAGTTAATTATAATATTACAATGTCTAGGTATATCGTAATATGTACATGCTACCCTTGCGCCCCTAGCTACTCGTCAAGTTAGAGATTTCACAATATTATCGTAATGAATAGCCCATTATAAAGAGGATGAAGTACATTTTATGCACAGTTCTTATTCATTAAACGCGCCTGCTAAGTATTAAGAAAACCGTACTTTAAGAACTTCGTTTAAATATCCTTTTGTGCGTGAAAACGACTGCGGGTTGTCGATCCCTTGTAACTAAATAATTACGTCAACGTATTGCAAATCAAATAATCGCTATGATGTGTGAGGCGACTTTACATGGCCACATTATTATGATTTCTTTTTTGTTAAAAGAGAAATAATAATGCATAATAATTCTTCGATTTTAAAATTACGCATGTGTAATATTTTTCACTGTACGCATATTTCAAAGGAATTATTCGAGTATCTTTAGCTTTTCTATTTTTTCGCACAATTATAAATACAAAATTGAAATAAAGGAACGTTACAGAAACGTATTTCGTGATCGAAGAATTATTATTATTCGAATATCCCGCAGATCGAAATCAAGCTCTGATAAAATCGAAGTTTTCGTCCGAGCTTTATCGTTTATTCAGCGAATAAGCGGATCGCATATATGTATAGGAACGGAGGATGCGTGCTCATTTAACACGTATACGTCTTACATGGCAGATTATCACGGACTAGTCTTGCAGAAACTCGAATCTTGTCTGTCTCTAACTGCATATCTCTCTTTCTCTCTCTCTCTCTCTCTCTCTCTCTCTCTCTCTCTTTTCCTACAGGATTAAATATAACTTCAGGAGCGGCATGTGGTATATAATCGTTTATAGCATACTTTCAAAGACGTTATTGCATTATTTAGTCACTAAAGGAATTTCATTGATTTCTAAATACACTTGTAAATTACAGATCTTACGCGCATCAAAAACTCTCGACTAGATTTGTTACCGAAGTTATAATAGAAATATTATTGTGCTCGTTATAACAATGTATATATATACATATATATATGTATGCAAGGGATGATATTATATAATCAATAAAGACGATGATTTTTTACTTCGTATTTGTTTTTTAAGCGATATTTTATTTGCGCAAACTCAACGAGCAACAACGATATCTCAGAATTCCTCGATCGCAGGATACAGTCGAAGTTTTTGTTGCACGCGGATGATTACCACCCTTAGAGTGTTTTCATTCTGAGTGCATTTTCGATTGTTTCGCCAGTTGATTAGGAATCAATTGTACGTAGTTGTTTAAACGTTCGCCGCTTATGTACTAGCATTCTTGTAAGTAACCATTTTAAAGGTAGCTAAATTTTTATTAGTTATTATTCGTGCGACGATTTACATGTCTTTCCGCCCGGTTTTGATAGATTGTATTCCGAAAAACGTACATGTCCCGGCAAATATTACAATCAAGCAACTGTAATTAATTAGAAAAGCCTAGAAGTGATTTTTCTACAGTTGCTTGTGACAAACTGTTCATGTAATTCCGATCGTCGGGACATTTACGTTCATCAATTCGTTAATGCTTGCCGATAGTCCGTTCGTTCGAAATTCGAAACTGGATCAGTTAGTGTTTTCCGGTGAATATATATCTATGAAAATTGGAAGCGCGCGACGGATTGGTACCAAATGAGAGACAACGATTTCAGATTATCAATTTTCGATATTCGACTCATGTATACATCACATATTCGTAGATTAAAGCTATTTACATATATAGATGTCGTATACACCTGCGATCACAATATTCGAAGGACTTCGCTTCGATCTAGAACGATCTTTCCGTACTGGAGCGAATTTGATAAATGTGGTTTTCTTTATAATAAACGTTTTTTTTTCTTACTTGTAACTTTCCGCAACAAACTACGGAAAATTGTTCTCGCGTTAGAATTGTTTATTTATGCTAGAGGAAAACGCGATATTGGAAAATTTTACGAAACGTGTTCTTTATCGTTCGTAGTTTGAAGCTTTTCTCATATAGTGCCCGATTGTTCGGTAGATGTAATCGTTCCCTATACAACGCCTTTCGACATCATCCGCACCGTATTCTTCAGAGCTTGTCTCTTGTTGCAGAACCAAATTCTTATCACCTCCCTATCGTATCCTAATCGATGCGCTAAAGTTGTGATTTCGTTACCTGTAAAAAAAATAGAAACTTTTAATATATTAAAGTACGCAAACTTGCCCCGAAGAAGAACTAATAAGATTCTTGTAATAGCAAGAGACTTAATCATAGCAGATAGACATAAAGCATAAACTAACCAGTAGGATGAGTATTCCTGTCAAAATGTGCGTTCAACAATTCCAAAGCCTGAGGCGTGAAGGAAGTCCGCCGTTTTCGCTTCTTGCTCGGTTCAACCCCGATGAAGTCCGTCAGATGATTAACGCCGCTCTTGTACCTGGAATCAGATGCACTACTCTTGCTCAAATTCGGAAGATTTCATCGCTGACGTTTATTGTTAACGTTACCGGCGCGCATTATACTTTCACGAAAAAATATATTATATACGTCTACAATTATGCTACAATTATGAATTGCGAAATAGGATCCCGTTTAAAAATCTGACCGGGTAATCATCATATTTTTACAATAATTAATTACGTCCGTGAGTCTACATCGAGCTCAAAATTTCTCCTGTGGTTTACGAAATATTGTTATAAATCCAATATGAAAAAAAATAATAATTCTGTTTACTGTTTTGCACGTTCGTAATTACGTTAGCGCGAAATAGGATACTGATTAAAAAAGGAAATCACCGGCGTCACGATATTCGTGCTCGGACACGTTCGGTCGCAAATATCCCGTCCGGTATTGGATTTTTCCCCGAGTACACACTCGGGTTGATTCACGAGTCGAACTTACTCCACGTATCGCGAAACAGTACTCACGGTGGCGGCAGCGATGCCCGATGGTGTCGACGTCGACTCAAATAAAATTAGCGATCGAATAGCCGCGGCGTTTTCAAACTCAAATCTTCATTTCATTCGTTATCCAAGCTCATTAAATCGTGCAATCTCAAAGATATCTTCCGTTTCCACAATTCTTAAATATTAAGAAGATACAATCAAGTGCTTCGATTTTTCCATCAATTTTTATTATTATCAATATCATTATTGTAATTTCTATGTACAATTATTAAGGATATTATAATCATGAACAGTTCTATATAATTAAATTAGATATTCTTATAAGAATAATTCGCCAATATGAATAAATTTCTGTTTGCTTAAGTTTGTTATTCTTGGACTGTTCGAAGAGCAGGACAGAATCGAGTGAATTAATACAAAATTTGTAATAATTGCATTAAAACTATCGAATAATATGAAATTGACATTCATTATATTTTTCAATCATTTTTCTAATTAAATTAAGACGAGATATCAATTTATAATAAATTGATATAAATGAATCTATCATTGAAGAATCAATGCCTGTTATATCATCTGATGCGACAGTTTTGCATCATTTCAACTGATCGATTTGGTCGAAACGACTTAAAAGAAATTTACATTAGAAAAGATCCGATCTCGAGAGTCTCGAGTCGAGAGTACGCAAACTTTTTTGGCGTCGGGCGACTAGTCGACATAATTTCATTTGACGGGTAGTATTATCGGGTGGGTGCGGTGCGGGGCGTGACATGGAAAAAGCTCGCGGCCGCGACAGTAAACAGGAGAACTTCCGTTGGGACTCCCGGGTGAGCGATGAGAAGTGGGTACGGTGTGGCTGCGCGGGGTCGGGAAGCTCGATGGTGGTACGGTCATAGGTACGTTCGCGGTGCCGGCTCAAAATTTATGTTTTTAATTTAACTCCGAATGACCAACTGTCGAGTCGAAAAAAGTACACGGCGGGCCATTAGCATCGCGCGGTAATATTTCGTCGAATTCGCGAAAACAATATGCTAATGGAGAAGTCGGTGAGAGCGCGAAGAACCGACGCGACGCGACGCGATGCGACGCGACGCGACGATTCGACGGGGTTTGGATGCCACGCCGTTGGTATGCGTTGGTCACCGGTGAACGCAATGGATGGAGAAACAACGCCAGGCACAAGAAGGGGTAGAAAAGGAAGGTGAAGAAAGAGGAGAGAAATAAACGTGAGTTAATACGCAAGGGAACGTGAAAGCTGCGTGTAAGCTCGTGCGTGGGTGTTACACGTCGTCGTTGCGTACAAGTGTGAGGGATAGAGGGAGAGACCACGGGCGGAGAGGCTTGAACGAGCATGAAAGGAAGAGGAAAGAAGACGGAAGCAGAAGGAAGATGGAGAAATGGAGGCTGCGTGAGCGGAAGGAATGACAGAGAGAGAGAGAGAGAGAGAGAGAGAGAGCGTCGCGCCGCGCTTCGCGATGCCGCTGCGGGTAAGAGCGAGGTGACGGCGGTGGCGTGTAGCCTGTAGGTAGGAGGAGCGACGTCGGGGGAGAGGTACATCAGAAACCTGATTTTAATTAGTCCACAGTTTAATTACTCGGCAGATAAATCGTGCACGTGCACCGCATAAACTAGCCGCTTTCATTTTTCCCGGACGCGGCCGGCACACGGTCGACGCTTAGCTCTACGCCGCGCGAATGCAGGATGGGTCATTGTTGAGCCGGCTTGCTCTCGTGAAAAGAGATACGACCGTACCCATATCGCTTCCGTCATCGAATGATTCGATTATTCTACGATGAACTTCCGGGCCGGTTTTTCTTTCGTGGGCCGAAGGCGTTGCGATATTTGATTTCCGAACAATCGCCAAGCATTTGCTTTTGTGCGAATAAACGCTGCTGTTTAATATAGTCGTGTTTCTTATTCTAATTGACTTATTCTCGCAATTGTAAATATAGGCACGAAACTTGGCAAGCACGTCTTGCAGATCTGTGTATTCATATTCATATTTCTTATATTTAGCACTGAATGTGACAGTTCAAATTGCGTATGCATAGTTTTTTATACTCTAGTACTTTATAGAGAAATTACCGTCGTATTTAATCTAAACTGGGAAACTGAATATAAACTGAATAATATTTAGCCTCTTTGGATTAACATGAAGATCGCGATAATTGTAAATAGAAATAAGAAATACACAAGTCAATAATAATAATAATAATGTAGACACTATTTAACTCTGTGATAAATTTAATATCCAATCATATTTTTAAAAAATTACTGCAAGAGTGAAGAGTGTCTTAGCGCTCTTTGATGTCAAAATCGTATCGCAGTGCGTTTTAATCGTCGTCCGACTACACGGATTCCTGATTAGCTCACGGCCTAAAGTTCATTAGATTTTATCATCTCGTAAAATTTACACCTTCTGGATACATAGCTCGGGATCCTTAGGGAGTATCTTTCGCGTCACAGTAAAGCCACCGCATTGCGTTGCTGCCTCCTCGCGATCGCGCGGTAACGGTTTCTCCCATTCTAATTAACATTCCACATATTTATTAAATGCGGATCCGCAATTAATCAGGTGGATTCAATTAGCGAATTACCAATTAGCACGCACGCGTTCGCACGCTCTCGCAGACCGACGCGCAGACGCGAAGTCGAGGCCGCGCTGGACGATTGCGAAATAATCATGTATCAGAAATACAACGTTAAAACTTGACTTGCAGCCGAGAAAGTCTCTCTTTCTCTCTTTCTCTCCCTCTCTTCGATTAGAGAATTCTAGTTGTTATTTATATTAATTATAGCGTGTTTATATAGCACGTCGAAAGGAACGTTGCATTTATGATACTCTTCCGACATAGATACATGTTGATCTTTTTTGAAGGAAAACATTTTCTCACGATATCTGTGCGATATTTCTTTAAGTATCGTAGGAGTATATTACTCACCTCTCTTCTGCCTCCTTCATCCACCTCTCGAGAACGGGCTTAATTTTCTGCGCGCTTTTCGGCGTAATGTCCAGCTTTTCGAATCTAAAGCCAAGAATAAGGCTTGGTCCATTTTCTTGCTTCTATTTTTCGGGCAATTAATAAAGGGAATAATGTGTCGAGAAAAGACGACAAGGACGTAAAAAGATCAATTCTAACGTAATATATTGATTGAATAATATGTATATCGAAATGCTTAAAAAAAATTCAAAACTTGATTTAAATTTTCTTTGAACATTTACTTTTCGCCCTTACGTCTTTGTCCCACTAAAGGAGCACTAAGAGGCATGCATTGATTCAATAACAGGACATTGACAATGCGTGCATGCTTTAAGGTTTGGTGATGCCGTGTATGATGTTGCCAACGCGCTGCGCAAACACTTGTTGTGCGAGCGAGCGAAATGAACCCGATCCCGCAATTCTCGGTGAAACGATCCGGAGCTTAAACTCGGCAAACGTTAAAAATTCTCGGCTTCATTCTATTCTTTTATTCTTAGCGCGTTGGCGACATCATGCCCAAGTTTGCCAATGCCCTGGCTCGAAGAGAGTTAATTTTAGAAGTGCTCCTTTCGCATCTCTTTTCCGAACGGAATTAGAAATTAGTGAGAGTGCTTGCGCAGCTATACCCAAATATGCCTGCCAGTTCTAAGCGGGAGAGGCCTGATCGCAAATCAGTCGAACGCAATTAGAGAAGAGGAAGAGAGAAAGACGACTGAGATGTCTGTCTTATTTTAGACGATAATGCATCGTTGATTTTAACATGGTGAATTAATTAGATCGTACTTTTTCTTAACCTCCTTTTTCAAGATCGTCGGAAAATTCGTGCACAATTTTCCATTGGGTATAACTGCGGTTTCTTAAAGGATTTTAGAGTTTTAGATTTTTAGGTAAATTAAGTAGCATGGAGGGGTGAACGTACGTAGCTTGCTGCTGAGAGGCAATCTGCGAGGCAGCGTACATCTGGGTAGCCAGGGCACTGGGGAACAATCACCAATGCTTATGTTAGTTGATACGATAAGAATTTTCTGAGAGATATAAACATTTTCTCTTTGCTTGCTACCGGCATTACCACGGTGGTTCCCATTCGCATTTCGAAGATACGCTCGATCGGAAATGACGGAGAAGGTAAATAATGTAACCCTACAGCCACGAAAATTTAAGTACCGAGTATTATACGTTCAGTAATATGACAAATTTGTAAAATTTCTGTAAATAAGTAGTTTTTATTTTACGAGTAATTTCAATAACTCGATTTAGATTAAATTGCAGCATAAATCAGGAACCATCGTGGTGGATTACGGTATAAATAAGTTTCTTATGGCACCTCAAAATTGGATAATGCACCTGCGATAATTATATTAGACTCCATTGAATTTAAAATTGCGACAAATACTAAATAATGAAAAAGGCGTGAAAAATAATTTTACTGAATATACCATATAAAGAAAAAAAAATAAAAACATAAAACTGTGCTTCAAAATTCTCTTAGCTTTACGTTCGAGCGTTCATTCCTAACGGAAAAATGCTGTTACAAGGCTATCGAACACGGATAACTATCTGTTTTTATTACTCTGAACAAATCTCAACCCTTTCTACGCCATTTCCAGTGACCTGGCACACTGTCGTTTTACATTCTACCATATTATTGAATTCTCATTAGCGACGTCTGTTTCGACGAACGTGAGGAGGACGATGTAGCGATAACTAACCTGCATATGGCACTTTGGCTGTATGCGGGGCCCTCAGTGACACTCAGAGCCTGACCAACTTGGGTCTGTGTCAGACCCAGAGACAGTCTGCGCAGCTTAAAAACCTTGGCGAACTCCTTGATCTCATCCAAATTGATCCCATCGACTACGTTATTAGTGGCCTCATTGATCGTTGGCTGATCTGTAATAAAAATTCATTCTATTCTTTATTTCAATTCTTCTATTATTCTTCTTCTTCATCTTCTATTCTTCAACTCGGTCTATTCTCATCACGATCAGATAATAAAAGTATAAAAATCATTACAAATCACCGGATTTTTCGTGGCAAGATAAATCTAGTATCATGCTTAATTATAAATGAATTAACAGTGACTTAAGCGTTTAAAAGCGTCGGATTAGTATTCTCAATCTTATTTCGAATTTCTTAATTTTTTTATTTTAAGAAATACATCTGGCACTTCTCTGTCCTACAAAATACAATAAAATCGATGAATTCTTGAGTAGGTATATGAATCGCGTTGCGAGCTAATTATGGAAACGATACCTGGCTATGAATGAGATAAAATATTCGTAGTTCAAGGATTACACGATAAGCAAGTTTTGCGTCACGCATGATCAGTTTTACAGTAATTCTAATACTGCAAATGTAGGTAACTTGGGATAGCATGCATTTTTGTTAAATTCAGTCGTGGTATCCATTCATGAGTCACTAAACAAAATTTAAAATTTTAACTGTTTTTAGTGACTCATGGATGGATATGGATAGATACCACGACTGAATTTAACAAAAGTACACGTTGTCCCTGCATTGTTCCAAGTTACCTACATTTCGAGAAGATTAGTACATTTTGAGCAGATTAGATTCACTATCGATTATACGAAAGCTCATTTCAATTGATTCGTCGGAACGCAACGGAGCTCCGGTAAGAAGGTTGTCTAATGACATCAGACGGCTTCGTTAAAGCAGTTACCACCGATTTCTCTCATAAATCTGTCACCCCGAATGTATACAAACGCAATAGAAATGCCCACATACTCCGTAATCTCGACCAGTTCGCCTGGTTTCTGTGCCGCGTAATAAACTGCAAGTCCTTCTTCCGCGACGGTGTTTCTACGATCGTTAATTTCTGATCAAGGCACTGAGTACTTTGCGCGCTTCAAACAAAAAGCTGCAAGCAAATTATATGACTCGGCCATGACACGATAAATAAAGGAATAAGAATATCAAGAGCGAAGTATTCACCGCTGTTGAGTTCACAACGTTAAATGACCATGGCTTTGACCATGATTATGATTATTGGACTAGTTTCTTAGTTTTGTACGCATTACAAATTGCATAAATAAAATAAATAAGAGATGTAAGAGATAATCACTAATAATCATTAAAGCTGATAACGAAGTGTATAAATATCAGAACTCGACATTTGAAGTACGTTGTTTAATGGTTTTTGCTCGTACTATACAAAATAATAATAGAAAAATTAGAAAACTGTTTATATACATATATATTTTAATTACGAGGTCGTCTTTCTCGATCTCTACGCGAGAAATTCTATCTCTGAAATTCTATCGGAGAAGAGTTAACAAAGGCAAATATTTATGAGATAATACTCGCATCTGACACTAGCAATTGAGAATCGTTAGACTTCACGCGTCGAATGATTATTCCGTCGCGTCAGGATGACGAAGTGCCAGTCTACGCGATGATTGTGAGTTATTAAAATTATTGTCAGCCAACACGAGGTTACGCGCGCTGCTGGAATCTTTATGGCTTCCTAGAAGGCAGTAAGGAACGAACTAATGCCCCGTATATTTATATAATGAGTCTAGTATACGATATCCTATTACACTTGTCAAGCATTCTACGATCGATGCTAGTTCGAAATGTTATTTTCCAGGTTCAAATACACGTTAAACATTAAATCGTTCCTTCTACGACGACAGTAACGTTTCGTGAATATTGTCAGGAGAAACGTTATTTAAGCGACCGATCATTAGAAAAAATTAAAGGTGTACTTCAATTATCAGAGATATACGCTTGCAGAGTTGCGTGCGGCCAGAAGATTAACACCTTGTCAAAAATATTGTCAGAATGTGACAACCTGGCAAGATAAAGATAAAGAGCGCTTTTGCATGTGGTAATTGCTTCTTTAAAAGTGATCATTATGCATGCAATCGCTTGTCGACATTAGCGAGTGTGGTTCATATAAGCAAGTGATTGCGTTATAGGAAGATGGTGTCTCCAGCGAAAATTGTAATTAAAAGCTGTCAAGAAGTAACACGGTTACCCCGAAGGCATAGCTCGATTATCATTTACGCGCGCGATGTGAACATCGTTTTAAACGTTCTGTCAAGTACCGCAAAAACCAATTGACACAGATCATTCCTACTTTCGACCCATAGGTTAATATCACAATAAGAAAAAAATAAATAAACTATATCTTACTCGGTGAATCGTTCAAGAGATCATCCTCCTCCTCCTTTATTGGACTGTGCATACTGCTCGGAGAAGCCTTTAACCCAGCACCGCCAGGTCCGTGCGTCGTCGTGATAGTAATCTCGCCATTACTAGCGGCCAATCTGTTCAAAGCGGATGCAGCGGACACCACGGATTCATTCAATGGCGACGACTGCTCCGGTCTGTCCCTGTGATGTTTTTCCGTCGACTGTGAACACAATGCGATAGTAGGGACGGATTAGTAGCTCACTGGGGACGAGAGTGCTCCTCTTCCACGTCAATTATGCACTCAATAATGAGACGGAACCTCGAATCGAGACACTTTAAATTACACTTTTAATTAGTGGAAAGAATGCCCGCCAGTACGGAATACTTTCTTAACGAGATCACTCAGTGCTGAGAATTATTGGTTGCTTCGCTAATCTTGCCAGTAAGTTTACTTCACGCGTTTGACCGTGCATCGCGATTCGATAGAAATCCGTTTACATCATTAGAAAAAAATGGAAAAGAGGAGCCAACGAAGGTATTTATTCTCTTTGATTCATACGGCGCACAGTGTTATTCGTTGATGGAAAGTTAACTACACTAACGGTTATAGTTGAAATTATTGAGAAAGTGAATAACACGTATCGTACGGCCACTAGTGAGATAAAACGTGAAACGTGCATACGGTTTTTAAAAACAATACAACTATATACGCAATATCACGAAAATATGAAGCTTATTGTAAAAGAAAAACATTGCTATTTTAACAAGCAATGATATGTCTATCAATTTCGTTGATAGCATGACATGAAGAATTTTACTATTTTATATCTGCAAAAATAGCTACGTAATTATATAGAGCTAATTATTTTAAATGCTAAATTATTATAAGCTTTATGGGAAAAGTAGCATCGATTTTAAATCTTAAAATATTTCTATCGTTTATTAATATTTCTCATATTACTGATAAATTTACTATCTATATTTAAAAGAATGATGTTGGAAAGGGCGAGTCGTACGTACTGTGTAATGATTTATATGCGAGGTGTGTCGGTGGCTGTGCTGTTGAGGCGATGTCGTTAAAAGCGGTTGCTGAGAAGCCTGAACGGCCTGTACAGCCTGCGCTGCTTGCGCTTGTGCCGCCTGGGCAGCCTGAAGCAGTTGCTGCGGCTGCATCGCGCTCAGAAGTTGTTGGCTCGCCGAACTATTGCTTAGAAGATGCGGCAAAGCGGCAGGGTTCAGCCCTAATCCCGATGCCAGGCTGGGGCTCGTGGGAACTGATAAAAGGACAAGTAAACACGCATAGTACGACATCCGATGTTGGGTTAATCGCAATGTAAATGCAACATTTGTGACAACTGAAATTATACACACATTTTGATTGAATACGTTATCATAAAGAAATGATGTCAACTATTATACGCATTTTTAATTAAGAGAAATAAACTTAAAGCGGATCTTAGTGCTTAAATATTTCAGAGTTAATTTATGTACATTTCCAAAAATCGCGCGCCGAAATTTTTTTCGGTTTTGAAACGCAATTATGAATAAAACTAGAGTAGTAACATCACATATTAAATTGATATTGATGAGTAATTCAATAATTTTTGATGCTAATAAGTATCTTTAGATGTTATAATAATTGGTGTTGATATAAACATCTTAAGAGCTGTGAATAATGTAATTTATTGTGAAAAATTTTTGCTTAATAAAGAAACAATTTAACATTTTGAGTAGACTTATGGATGGGTGATTTTGAATCGATTTATTTTTTGTCTTTCCGCATTTTTATTCGCAAATTTTTATCGCTTAATTTTGAATTTAATGTATCGTATTAGTCGTAGTAAATAAATTTCTGTTTTCTTAATAATAATAGCTCAACAATTGTTCGGCAGAATATAATTTGTTTGTTGATAATATATAATGACATCTAATATTAACCACAGAAATAAAAATGAAAAGAAAAGATTTTTATAGGAATTATTTTTTTACATTATTTTTTATACATCACATAATTATTGTTTAACTATCTACGTGAACGAAATGACGCTGAAACTGCATACAAGTTCAACATTTGATCATGAATTAATTACTTAATGCGCAATTTAGCTGCATTGCAAAATTTTCGCAATAGTCATAATATGAAAGTCATAATATTGTGTTTTAACAAATTAAGAATTATTTTACGCGTTTACTCACACAGCGAGTATCATTTTTGCGAGTATCATTTGTTCTTGTTTAATTTTTCAGAAATAACAAGAATGAAATGATTCCAAGAGCATTGCAAGTATCAAATGGAACGCATCTCGGTTGCAAAAGAATCGCTTTTTCACGAGATCGATTCAAGATCGTTCATCTCTAGCGGGTGTGATGCATATATGTGCTCAGCGTTTCCTATTTCTAATTTGTCTATGAAATAATTAATGTTGACGTGAATATTTTATGAAGTTCTCCATTATATATTCTGAAATCACTTACCAATTATATATTCTGAAATCACTCGATAAAATTCCTTAAGATTTACGCGAGAGAAAGAAAACTACAATGCTTATTACCGCTAGCTTTCAATTACATAGAACGCGTCTCTGAAATATTTCGTTCTTGAAGAATTAAACATTCAACATTTGATATTGCGATAGATTTAGTAGATGCAAAAGATCATTTATACTATATACATGTAAATACATTTTGTTAAATTTTATAAGAAGGATAATTAATCTTACGATGACTTTGTAATAATTTCTATCAACGAGATAGTTAAAATATATTAAAATATTTTATATAGCTTCTTAGAAGCAAAATTATATTTATATCGTGACGCGCGTAAAGATGGATCAGGGGACATGGTAGTATCTCGACGAAGAGCACGCGCAGTGATATTATATTAAACGGTTACATCGAACACATGGCACAGGAAAATCTTATAAATAGATTAATATTGAACTTACCATTGCTCGTAGGCGTATTAAGCATATTTTGCGGTTGAGCTAGAGATTGGAGATTCGCCAATGTCGTAGAAACTACTTGTCCATTACTGAGCGCTAAATTCACCATTTGATTGTTCGTAACGTGACTGACTGGTATAGTCAAAATGGTTTGGGTAGCGATACCTAAGAAATGAGAAACATTTTTCAAAATGAATGTGTTTCTCTGACAAGAAATTATTCCAAGATAGAGGGTGATAAAGATAATTGATTACAGTAGCCCTCGATAATGTTATATGATCATATTTCAAATCAATAGATACTTCATTTCTATTATGAACATAGTCCACGCGTCGTTGATCCAGGATGGGTAGTAAAGTTATCAGAGTCTCATAGAAGGATTATTAGGCAACCCATAGGGCAGGTAACCTCGCAGGCTAGCGTAGTTGGCAAACTATTATCGTCATCTTAATAGTGGGTACAGGTACTGGTACTGGACTGCGCTGCGAGAAGGACGCCTAATCATACTTAGAATAGTTTCGGGATTACCTCCAGCTCCGCTAATCTGATTACCCTGTACACGCGCTTAATATGATTACTGATCATGAGTACGTACCCGTGTTGCCACCTACAGCTAAGCTAAGCAAATCCCGTATTCCGAACAGCCATAAAAGTTTCACATTCTGAGGTAAGGTCAACCGACAATCCGATTAACGTGCAGTTCAAACGTTACCGAACGATAATGTGTCGTCAATACTTTCACTGTTGATTCACTGTCTCTGACAAGAGTGTAATGATTTGAAAATATTTCATTCATTCGAAGTATAACAATATAATATTTGCGGTAGCAATTCAATATTTGCTTTTCGTTAACGCGCCATCGTCTACTAAAAGCAAAGAAGAAGTCTTTTCCACATTTTTAGGAATATCGGAGATTTATTTATATCTGATATAAAGAACGATTCGCGGATGATGTTATTTCCATTTTCAACGAATCAAGGCGTACATGACCTCCCGTGTATTTTAATCTTCGTCGCTTTTTGGATCTTAATCGTTCACACGATAAAATCTCGGACGGCTGATATCACTTTAAATAAAGCCGCGGACATTCCTGCGGACAATAATTTCTATGAACGACAACCTATTGACCGCACTTTCGAGCACTCCTCGACTCATCCTCGCCGACACTCGATGTCTATCAGAGACCAATCGAGCGTTAGTCAGTTACCATCGATTGAGTCGAAAAGCAGTGCAAACATTATTTGCCGCCACGTAACTCGTCATCCTACCGCGGCCGGTCCATATCCACGAACTTCAATCCACTTAGGCGGAATCCCAAAGTTCTGCCTCTCGTCCTCTGCCTCCGCTCTGCTCATGCTCTCTCTCTCTCTCTCTCTCTCTCTCTCTCTCTCTCTCTCTCTCTCTCTCACTCTCTCTCTCTCTCTCTCTCTCTCTCTCTCGCTCCCTCTCTCCTCTACCCTTTCTCTCTCTTTCTCTCTCAATTGCTAGAATAGGAACCTAACTTGGTAGAAACGAAGTTAGCGCGGACCGCAATCGATATAATAGCGGCCGAATCCGCGGAGCTGCGATGTCCAGCCAGTGAGTGCTAGGGTTAGGAGTATGAGGGGAGGAAGGACGGACTCGAGAAAGGAGGCAGGATGGGATGGGATTCGTGAGGTTGGAGAGGGGTAGTGAGACGTTAATTATACATTGAAATTAGTTGCAGAGTTTGCCCTGTGCTCGGCGAGGCAGTCTAGGACCACTAAGTATGGACGACGGGCCGGCCTTAGTCCGAGCTCTGGTCAGAGATAGTCGATATTATATTATATATCGGCACATCTTGATTGCACAACATTATGCGCCAGCACAGCGCCGCGTTCCGTTCAGCGAAAGCACGATAATTTTATGCGTGGCAACCGTCGATGAAATTTTGACTGATTGAAATTTCGATTATAATCTCATAGATTATTTGTTAGCAATCGTGGTCAATATTATGATAATAAGATGTGCGACGAAGGGAATCATTTATGTTCGGGAAATGCTGAAATTTATAGAATGTTAGTGTATTAACTTACCTTGCGAAGTGGGGATAAGAAGCTGAGCTCCTTGAATGCCCTGAACCAATTGACCAGACGTTAGGATGAATTGAGGCATCGCGACCGGTTGTGGTTGAGATAATAGCTGAGGTAACGTTGCCATTGGGGCTGAGCTAGGTGGCAAAAGGTGGGGACCTGCCGTCGTACTCGAGGCTGTTGGTACCGTTCCGCCTTGGAATAAAAATTAACGATTTCATCGTTAAATTACTCTTGTCATTTGATTCTTAATCCTTGATCCTTGCAATCGCTCGCATTTCTATTCAGATTCACTCAAGAAACTCGATTTTATGCTTCTTACCTGACGAGCTGACGGTTAAATTCAACGGAGTATTGATCAGCTGATTATTAGTTAATCCCGCTGTCATTCCCTGAAGACCGGCGGCCAATGACGCGACTTGTGGAAGATTTTGCAAATTCGCTAAATTCTGAAGATTTTGAAGCGTCACCATACCAGCCACTACGCATAAAGTTCCAACAGTAAGAAAACAATATCGATATTGGGATCGTACGTACAAACGAAGTTTCTGTAAAGGGACAGTTTCTCACACTTACTCGTCCCGTTTAAGTGAGCTTGTGCTACCGCCGCGCGTTTCGCTTGATGGAGATTTTCAGGTGACGGACTCCGTCGCCTCTTTCGTGAATTCTTTATATCATCTATCATCATTTGGTGTTCGTGAAGTGCACCACCTGTCGCCGGTTCGGGACTTCCAGCGCTACTCCTGTCGCTGTCCTGTAACAGAGAGAGAGAGAGAGATATATATATATATATACATGTATACATATATATATGTATATATATATAGTATATACACATGTACAATAGATATATAATCACACGCCAGATTGAAATTCAATCACCTTCGATTTATACGAGATCGAACAACGCCGGTTACGAGAAATTGCATTGAATTAAATTATACTACTGTCCGATATAATAATAGATAATAATAATAATAATAATAATAACGCTAATTAAATATGTATTATTCTACTAATACGCAGCTTACTAAGAGATCAAACATCTTTCTGAATTTTCAATATAAAATGTTATGCATCATTCTCTCTCATGAAAATCAATGGAACAGCGACGCAAAGGTTTTAGTACGAGTTAACAGTCATTTCCAAAATGACCAAAACATTCAATTATACGCGCGTGGTTCGTTAGCGTGTGATGCTTTTTATTGCGGTAGTGCGTTTAACGTCGAAAATAGATTAATAATCATTCACAGTCCACGTAAATGATACATATTAAAATATTCCATTTCACATCGGTAGAGGTGAGAAAAAACAATGACAGTAAATTAATGACGATAATTATTGTAATATTATACACATAAACCAATGAGTCTTACGACACGATCGGTGATCACTGTCGAATATTAATTTCAATATCACTTACGCGTGGCAATGAAAATTGAGCCCGCCTGTATTATCGCGATGCCGATCCTTGCCCATAAACATAATCCAGCAATGCGTGCGGGCAAAGTGATTTAGTTATTCACGCTCAATAACACATTTTTGGAATTAACTTGGTCGGCCGAGCTGACCGTCCGATTTAATCAATATCAATTTGGCAGGACCGCGCGACACACGGTCTATCACGACTTCCGAAAATTTTCAAACAACAATCGTGAAAGATTATACGAGAAGGCGAGAATTGCCGCGCGAAAAAAAATATATTAATCACGCGTTTCCCGGTTGCTCCGCTTTCGTGCCTGCAGATATATAATTCATGCATATTTACGGAATACTAGCGGAATAATTAACGAACGCCGGCACATTAAGGCGTGCCGTATATACGTACATGTGCACGTGTAGTCGAGGTTCTTAGAAGACAATCTAAATTATAATAAATCGATGGAGTATATATGCCGTAATGCTTTACCACCACGAGTGTATATCGATGGTGGTGGTGGTGGTGGCTGTGCCGTGGAGAGTAATGTTACCGGTGCGGCCTCTTTGCATAATGGTATGGAAATATGCCGGAACGTGTATCGCCATAGTTGGATACAGATTAAGCGTTTTAGAGCTTCGACACTCGAGTAATTCGGGAAAAAGAGTTCCCGCGCGGATAACTGGACCTATGAATAAATCCTAGAAGAGCTTCTGCGGTGGTTATCACCTTAGACGTATAACTGCTTTCACCAGACGGATTGGCACAAATGTCAAAAAAAGTTTTTTTACGCAATTTATAGTATCAATGAAAAATATATTAATGGTGTTTAAAGACAATAACAAAATTGAGTTGTTATTGAGAATTGTGTAATTATTTTTTTTCATAATTTTCTAAGAGAAAAAAATTGTTAAATAAAAAGCGAATATTTTTAAATCAACCGTAAATATCACATTAATTGTACTGTCGAAGTCTCAGTATATTCAGCTTTTTTTAAAAGGGGTATCCTCTGGGTGCGGCTTGTAATCCCGGCTTGAATTTTCGTCAAAGTCGCACAATGGGCGTACGCGTCGCTGGTCGAGGCATTTCATTGCATAAAAAATAGATAAAGCCTGGTCGATAGGTAACGAACGAAAATAGGAGGCGCAGAGGGTACGGCAGTTCAATTTTTTTTCCACGCAAATTCGTAAACGGCTATACCACCAGTATAGCCACCCTATATTAAATGGACGAGGCGAGGAGGATTAGTTGAATGCACAGGTTCGACCATTTTGCTTGTAAAAGTGCACGCGATATACAACCAAGCGTAGAAACATATGTTTACGAGCTTCCGGTATTTCGCATAAATTAATCAGTGTTGCAGCACTGCAGCGTATGAAACAACTTTGTACGAGATCGTCGACTTTGCTAAAACTTGCCAAACAGTTATTTGTACGTGGAAACAAATAATTATGTAGAAATAGAAATTAAGGTGTTTATATTATTGATATAATTTTAATAAAAAAGAACGCATTAAATAAATTTGTTGGAAATAAATTACTCTCAAATGCAACTTCAAAGATTATACTATTTTTGTACATTTCTATAATTCTCCTAATTGCTAATGAACATTTTATTCTTGCATAATAATACAAAGCATGCATTATTATGGAAGAATAAAATGAACATTGATAGTTACATATATTAAGACGATTTTAATTTGTAACTAGTGTATATGATTCCTTATTTACTTAACATCTTGAGACATAATCTGGTAGCCTATATATTTATCTAAGCACGTCGAAAAGAACAAAAGAAGCGGTCATGCCGCCTATGCAATTGGTTCCACCAGCGTTTTAAATTCCCAGAGAGAAATCAGTCATATGATCGATAAAAAATCATTATTTCGCATCCATAAGCCATCTCGCTAATGCAAAAAACCGAGCTGGATCCTCTCCCTCCCGCGAATGGGGCGGACGGTGAACGCGAACGGCCAGTGGGAGGCGCGAAAAAAATACACGGGGCAGAGGAAAGAGGGCGGAGAGCGTTCGGTTGGTCGTTGGAAATGCAACAATAAACATTACTTATCGGCACGGGGGTCTCTAACAATGCGTATACGAAGAGAAGCGGCGCGGCTGGTAGCAAAGCGCAAGTTTTTTGCAATAAAGTCATTTCGAGCCGTTTGAGTTATGGGTAATTCCTGTGGAGCGCCCGGGCCTCTGCGCTCTAGCTGGCTGGTCCGAGTCCGGTCCATTGATTAGTATTAATGACTTAGCTGCACTCATTTCGCCCGAATAAAAGTAATTGGATTTGGCTTCGACCCCGCGCGGACCGCGCTGTAGTTTGGCGTCGACGGCGTCGGCGGCGTCGGCGGTGGCGACGGCAGCGGCTGGCAGAACAAAACTGGTGGGCGCGTGTAAAAATACATTAATATCTGTTTGCGCTTAATAAACGATAGCCGCGCTGACTTCAGACTAATGGCCGTATTCCGGAATCGGTAATACGCATTTTTATGTTTCTTTCTGAAACGAGGCGCCGCGCCACGCCGCGCCGCCCGCATCGTACTGCTATCATCCCATCTTCGGCTGTGGCTGTGGCTGTGGCTGTTCCTCCTGCCTTTGGCGATCGATTTGTCGAGCGGGGTACCGTTAGTCGTTATGAAAATTGAACGATTTTTTGGCAGGGAGAACTATGTACGCGAGTTTTGCTCGCCGTCAAAAGTACAAACACGAGTGAGAAATATGTAGAAATTTTTATAAGAGTTGTCACACAAATTGCTAGTTGTAAGTTTAAAAACATTAATATGTCGGATAAAACGAAAAGACGTGAATATATCTCTGCTGAATTAGAAATAGAAAAGAATGTTACTAAAATTAATATATAACTGTATATAACTGTGGATATAACATGTATTTTAAAAAATCCGAAGTCAGCGATTATGTTTGACTTGATTTGAATCTCACAAATTGTTTCAAGCGTTTAAACCATTTGATTGAGCGATTCTGTCGATATAGTACGCAACCAGACGTCGCTTGTAAATATATTCAAACAGTTTAAAGCTGTATAATTTCATTTGAATTTTGTAAATTTTATTTATATTTGCGCGTCAATAATTATTATCATGCGATCAATCGAGATCAATAATTATATAATAATTATTCAACACGTCACAGAAAGGCATAAAAAGGCGAGAGGACGATGAATTTCCTTCACGATTAAGGATTCTAACGAATCCTGTGGGGGTCGCAATTATCACGTGGTCATTGCGAAAGGGTGTTATCGAGAGTGGAAACCCAGCGAGACAGTGGCAGAGGGTCTGCTCTCTATACGGAAAGGATAGAACGGAGACAACTAGGGAAGGGTAGACAGAGACAGTTTGGCAGAGAGAGAATCATGAAGATAGTCATAGAGGAGAAAGACAGGAAACGCCAGTGGGAAAGAGAGGGAAGGAGAGAGTAAGAGATAGAATCCGCTCGACCCCTCGGTTCAGGCCGCTTTGTCTGTAAGTGTAATTAGTCCAGGGTGGGGTTCCTGGGAGTCGAGGCTCGGGGGTATAAGGGAGGGTAAAAGAAGGGGTTGCGGCAGGGGAGCAACGGGGTGGTTCATCCTGGCTTCCCTCGCCCCGTCCCTGTGCCCCACCACCGCCTTATTTATATGCAAATGAGCTTCATTTCGCGATATTAATGTTCCACCCGAGTCGGCCTGCCTCGGCGCGAAAGGGTGCGAGGATACGCGGAAAAGGGTTCGTCCTCTTGCTTCGTACATGTTTACGTTTCGCTAGCATGGACAGCAGTCGAGTCAAAATGTCAAAAATTGTTGACGATCTCAATGGCCGAATAAATAACACGCGTTTCATCTTTCAACGAGCAATATAATACGTAACTGAGTATTATATATGACGGCACGCTTTGATTTGGAAACTATGTTTAGAGGTGAAAGTGGAATGAGAAGTCGTTCGCTCTAGCGAAGCGTGTTGGGTTGTCGGGGAAACGAGTGAAGAAAAGTTAAAAGGAAAAAAAGAAGGCAACACACATACAAATTGCTCACATCTTGATCCGCTTCACCATAAAAGGCATAAAAGATAATTTTGTCACAAAAGTTTATTGCTCCAATAAAAGGACTTCTTGAAAGGTCAACCTATTCTTTAAATAATTCTTTTCCATCATCTATAGCTCTACGAATAAGTTAAGAGGAGTTATGGAAGAGAATCAGCCTCCGACATATAAATCAGAGCACAAGAGTTATAAATATGAAAAGTAGCGAGAGGATTAAACGCAAGATTTTTGAAAAAAAAACAAATATGTTTAATGCTTCGCCCCGCTTTATATTTATTTTAATAAATCGAGAGCAATGCGACT